AACAATTATTGCCTTTGGAAAGATATTTTATTCAATAATATATTTATTTTTTACAATATGCATTTTGGCTCAAAAAAAAAAAAAGAAAGAAACATGTTATTGAATAAAACATATTTCCAAAGGCAATAATTGTTTACTAAGGTCTAATAGTTAAGTGGTCAAGAATAAATTGAGATCATCACATAGTTTCAGCCAACTATTAATGTTTATTTTAATTAATACATAAAAAACCACTGCTTATTGGTTTGCAATAATAATTGTTATGGTAACTATCACTTAGTATGTACTAAACTAATTGACAGAAATTCCATATTTAACCTTTCTTCATTAATATCTTTTAATTAACTTTTGATACCAATCAGCTAACCAAAATTGATATTTTACTAGTAGCATTTTTCTAGTTTTTCAATATATGCAATTATTCAGACTTGATCAATTGCTTTAAATTTGGCAAGTAAGCACTTTCTAACAAATAAATAGTGTAGTTAAATTAGTAATAATAATCACTCTCACTTTTTGCCACACTTCTTGCTATACTGTCTTACCTAAACTAATCCTGATCTGGGATCAATGAAAATAAAAATTTACTTTCATTTTTATTGATAAATATGAATTTTTCAAATTGAATATTATAATATCCCAATTTTAACATGTGATATTTGATAATTGATTTTGTAGTATTAAACATGCTCCTATTATATTTTGAAGATTGTGTATAAGTTATTTATATATACTAGAAAAATTATATAAACAGTTTTGTGTCCAAATAATAGGAATTTTTGAAGGTCATGTTTTTTTCTTCTTCAAATTGTAGTATAATGTTTTCTATGAAATTAAAAATTTTTGTAACTAGAATTAAAAAATATATTTGATTTTTTTAAAAAACTTGTTTTGAATGTATATACAAATTTTTATATGTTATGTAATAGCCTTCATTTCACTATCACTAATCATCCATTATCACTAAAACTTTTATCAGTATTAATATTTATTCTTTTTTAACTTAATAAACTATAATTTTAATAGCATAAAATTGCTTTAAATGTGTAAAATCCAAACTTTTTATTACATAAATATTTTAATAAGTATATGTTAATTGATCATTATATATATACCAGTAGAATACTATATATTAATACTGCTTTAATTAAATAATCATTTTCATTACTAGAGCCTATATTAAATGAACAAAACTTATGATTCATAATAGTTTGGCATTAAAATAGCTGAATTACTTTGTGTTAATGATTGGAGAACTAGATTTGTGAATAAGTGCAATATATGACTGTCCTCTCAAAATTTATTGTTGTTTTGTCTTGTGCATGTATTTTATTCATGAAAAAGCAAAGGTTTCTGAACTGCTTGATAACAGAATATGGTAATGTTCAATGAAAACTCTAATGATATAATATGGAAAATCATCCAAAATGCCAAAAACCAGATTATATTCAAAAAATAATGAGTCTTATGTGGAATTGAATAGATGCTCTGTATTATGAACTATTTTTATTACACACAGTGGAAAATATTATACATAATTGGATATATGACATTGGCAACAATTGAAAAATGTATAGTACTGCAAAATAAAGAATGTATAAATTTTTTACCAAAATAATATTTATCCATTTTCTATGATGAAAACAAAAAAAAAAAAAACATGAGTGTGTTTAACTGAAAGGTTATGGATCATCTGCTATATATTTTAAATCTTGCTATCTCTGATTATTGGCCTTGTTCTTATTACAGAACTTTTGAATGGAAAAAATTGATTGATTTAAAATCTCAAAATAATAATCAAATAATTTTCTTTAATCCTACCCAATCTGATGCTATTCTCCACTTATCTAACCATTTTAGGTAAAATATCATAAACTTTCTATATATTCTCATACATGTATGGAAAAAGTTCAGCTGCATAGATGGTGTTTTATCTAATTGCTTGAATTATGAATTAAAACCCCATACTAAGCAAACTTTTCTCCAGATATTTCTAAATTAGTTATCCAATCTGAATTATCCAACTGGGTAATAATAACACTCTGCTTGTTTTAATATCAAATTTTTATTAACAGATTACACCATAAAATCTATGTACACTGTATTATCATTTAAATATATTGACACTGTCAACCAGCTAATTCATTTAGTTGAGTGTTGTGTTAGTTTTGTAGTGATTGATAGTTTAAATCTATTTTTCAGCATTTGTTTTCTCACATCTTAAGGCTATTTGATAATTATTAAACAATTTTTGGAATCTTTTGATTTATTTCTTAGAATGCTATGTAATAACAAAAATAGTTAAAATTAATAAGATGATCAAAACGACAGTTAATTTTTGAACAAAAAAAAATTATAAATTGAAAGTGCTGAACATGATATTCAAAAAATATGACTTTTGTACTCTCATTATATTAAAGTTTATATAAATAGAACAAGTTAAAAAGTACAGTACATAAACAAAATTTTAAAGGTCACATTTTTATTCTTCTCATTCTTTCTTTAATTTTTTAAAATTTGTACTTACTTACTTAATTAATTAATTAAATTTAATTAATTAAAACCCCTTAAGCCCCAAGCCCGAGATATCTCTGGCAAGTTACATAGCGTTACATAAAATGCGGTCCTTAAGGACTTTTTGAATTTTTTTTTTGAATTTTTGGAATGTTTTTTAAGTCTCCAAATTTTTTCAAAATTTTTTAATTAATTAATTAATTAAATTGTTGGTAGCTGATAGATAATAATTTTAAGTAGAGTAATTTGAACTAGATAGATTCAAAATATTTATGGAATAAATCTTATTGAAAGAATTTTAGCAATAACAATAATAAGTCTGCTTTAAATGCGTTCTTCAATTGTTTAAGGAAAATACTTAAATTTGTTGTGCTGTTTAATTATTGTTTAACATATTGTTAATGAATAGAAAAATTTTAAAATGAAATCCATTTAAAAAATATTTATTCTGTTTATTGATAATTTAAACAATAATAAAACATATTAGAGTAATAAAAAATAAACCTTTAGGTTAAAATAAATACTGATAATTGTGATGTTGTTGACTGCATTAGTCAGTCATTTTCAGGTTCTGAATCAAACTTTTCAATTATAAATGTTATATTCTAGAATGTACTTTTATAGCATTTAAAAATGAGCCAGGACTACGATTAAGAATTAACAAATATAAGAAAAAAGATGTACATAAAATTAAAATGACAAATTTAAATAGATAAATTTATATCTTTAAGATTATAAATAAAACTAAACTTACAAATAGCCCAGTGTGTTTTATTTTAAAAACATTCTCCATGCATTAGATAGTAGATAGTACATCCCAGCAATTAATATAATATTTTTTTTGACTTTAATAGTTTACAGCTTTTGCAACATTCATCTCATAATCAGACAATAGATAGTCATCCCTTTCAGCATTGCTCTTATGCTTAATAATAGTAAGCTCTCTGTATTTCAGGATAATGCGAGATTTTGGCGTCTCCTCTCATTTTGAAGATTTGAGGCTTTGATAATGTGATGAGTCAGTTCATGCCACTGCTAGTCTATCTTCTCACTTACATGCCCTTTCCTCTCAGTGTCTTTCTATTTGGCATCAATAAATTATGCCTTGTAATTTATTTTTCAAATAATTACATATCTTCTCCTCAGTATTCCTGCACTTGGCACCTAGGACATATGCCTGCCTTACATGTCTTAGTTGTGTTTTCGTTCTTAACACTAATGCTGAGAAATTGATTTAATTCTGGTCAAATGTGCAGAAGTATTAGAAATATTGTATTCAAATATAGCCAAAAATTCTAATAATTCTGCTTATTGGCCAGAATTAAATCAAGTTTTCAGCATTAGCACTAAGGATTTAATATTATATAATATACTGTCAAATTTTAAGGAACTATTAATATACTTAAATATACTCTTAAAATTTTTTAAAAAATTAATCATTATATTAAGACTAGTTAATTTGACAACCATGAATTTTATAGTATATAATCCTTATTGAATATAAGAATTTCATAAGCACTTTATACAGCAATATTCTACTATAAACTAAATTTGATAAAAGGTTATGAATAATTGAGACACCGTATCTTAATTATAGTCAGTTAATGTTACCCTTGTCCAATTGTAAAGAAAAATATTTAAATAAAATTAAGGAATAATAATACTGTGTAAAGAGTAATAAATATGTCGGTAATACTGTAACTTTGTGTCAAAATTTAATCCTATTTCTTATTTCTATTTATTTATTCCTTTGTTTTCTTTATTTCTTTAATTAACTGTACTTTCTTATAAAATTTCTTTGTCTTAGCATTGTTAATGGTACAAGATTTTTTGAGCCCAGCTGTAAAAAAATCTTGTAATAACTAAAAGTAATTTTTTAAAGTAATAATAATGGAATAATTACAGTCACTGATAATTAATGAATAAAATTTTAATAGTTTAAAAAATTTATCACAAAAACAAAATAATAATGAATATAATTAGAATATGAAAATATTTCTGTATCTTGGATCTAGAATTTGTCACCCCACAATTTAAATATTATATCCACACTTAATTTGTAAAACTTATGATCTCAGATCTTATTCAGATCAACTGCAAATTAACTTAGTTGAATAGAATAAAAATATTGAATTTTACATCACTAGATTGTGTAATCATCACAATTTACTACAACATGTATGGCTTCCATCATTTTAGTACTTTCACTTCATTAATCATTTTAAAATTAATACTGTAAAAATATTTTACAGCCCTAATTATTCTAAGAATTAATAACTACATATAAAATACTTATTTAATATATTCAGGAAGGTTTTATTTATATTCAGTCAAGATTGTTGCTGTGATTCAGCATAAGTTACTTTGAAATGCTTCTTTGAATAAATTTAATAAGTAGAACAGATACAAATTTTATATATTTATTGAATTTTATGTTTGTTATAAATTTAATTTTAAAAAGAGAAATTTATCTTTTATATAAANCTCAAAGCAAATTGATAGCATGTGGAAGTCTTTTTCAGGGAGTTTGTACATCACATGATGTAGAAAATGTGACTTTATATGAAACTCCAGCTAATGAATCTGTAGTGGCAAATAACTCAACTGCATCCACTGTAGCATTTATTGCTCCTGGTCCAAAAAACTTATCTCGTACTCATGTTCTTTACGTTGGTGTATCATACACTGGAAATGGACTTTACAGATCTGATATACCAGCCGTCAGCAGTCGAAGTTTGGATCCTGCAAACATGTTTGCAATTGCACATACAGGTGTCACAACTGGAACTAAAATTATGATTAATAGCATGTCGCGTGAAAGTTATCCCATTAAATATGTATTTGGATTTAACACAAAAGGATTTTCATATTTTATAACTGTACAAGGAAAACAGACATCGTCTCCTAAACCTTTCATTTCAAAACTGATTCGCATTTGTCAAAATGATGTACATTATTATTCCTATACAGAAGTACCTCTTGAATGTCGAGCTGATGACGGAACTCATTATAATCTTGCTCAGGCAGGATATGTTGGTCATCCTGGATCAGAACTTGCTGTGAGTTTAGGTATCACTGCCCAAGATGATGTTCTATATGTTGTTTTTGCAAAATCTAAAAATGACAGTGATACCTACTTTAAACCTAGTGCCAATTCTGCATTGTGTGTTTATGCATTATCTGCTATCCATCGAAAATTTACTCAAAATATTCAAGATTGTTTTAATGGAGTTGGTCAACGAGGATTGGATTTCATTAATCCTAGTCAACCATGTTCACAAACTGTAAGTAAAATTATTTAAAAGCTTTTAATATATTAAATTAATATTAAAATGTTAATTGTTTATTAACATTTTAATATTAATAGATGTTTTATTAATAAGTATGTATTAAGATTGTTAAGAAGCTAAAGGTGAAACATAATAAACATATAGTTTGCAAATATTGTATAGATATTTTTAATTATTTAAGTAATACATAGTGTGTCCCTAATATATGGATAAGTTTAAATTGAATATTATATGAATATTGGATATATTAGTAATGTAAAAAATTTACTTTGCACAAAAATCTATTAATACATAATATAAAATTTTATGCTTTTATATTTATTAGAACCAAAAATATGAGTCTGGCACAGTCTTTCTGTGACACACACTATATAGTGCTGTTAAAAATATCAGTAGTCATATCTAATGGCTGTTGTTTATTTTGTTTTATTTATTTATTTTTTGTTTTCTCATTGTCTGAAATGTTTTTATTTGTTAAATTGAATCTCTAATTTGAAGATAAAAGTTTTTAATTGGGAAAAAATTATAAAAAAAAAAATAAGTATGAAGTGTCAGTTATGATGGTAATTTTTAAAAATGAAAGTATATCATTTGAATGCTGATTGGATCTTTGCAATTGATACATATTGTAAAAATATGTATAATTTTATAAATATATACGATTATATAAATTTTATGGAAGTAATTATTATTCTTTTAAAATTATATGAAAAATGTTGCACAATTCTTATAATTTCTGATTCCTAAAACAATTCTTCCACGTTTAATAAGAAAATTAATTATTTATTTTAATTGAAGATTAAAAATTTTTTAAATTTCAATATTAACAATTAAGTATTAGTTTAAACAAACATCATCACTAAACCCAATATATTACAGTAGAGCATCGTTTATCCAAATCAGTTGGGGACTGAGGTTGTTCAGATAACCGATTATGTACGAAAAAATATATTAACCTATCCCATGTTGAAATTTTTCTCTATTGCGTGTCGCTTCACATTGAATTTTTGTTGATGTTAAGCCTAATGTAAACTTTTTAAAATAATAATCATGGCTATTGTATCATTAAAAATTATTTCTTTATTTTTTACAAACAAAATAAATATATTGAAAAATATAAAAACAAAAAAATTATACTTTAGAAGTTGATCTAGTATCAAAAACATTCAATTCAACACAACACACAGTCCTCAGAAAAACAGCACACTAAAGTGCCAGTGCTGCCAGCTAAAACACACACACCAACAAAAAAAATATTGGAGTAGCCCAAGATATAGCCAAAGATTGCAGCGCTACAGCACTAGTGAAAATTTAAATTTGCCGACTGGAATGCTTTCAGTTAACTGACGTTTCGGATAACTGGCTTTCAGATAAGCTATGCTCTACTGTATAAAGCTACACACCAACCAATGCCAAATATTATCAGGTTAGAAACAGCTATAATAATAATAATAATAATTTATCAGACAATTTGGCACTAGAGTTAAGCGTTAGGTGTCATTTCTTGATAAATTTAATAATTATAATTTTAATTAAATAATTTAAATAATTTAGAACTACTGGAAGAAAAGAATCAGCCAGGAGCAGGACTTGAATCTTCAATGCCTGCTTACTGTGCAGATGCGTTACCAGTTCCAGTATAAATAAGGTTATTACATAACCTTATATACAGGATGTATCAGAATGACGTTTTAAAAATTTGGGGGATTGTAGAGGATGAAATTTTGAATGTTTTGATATAAGGAACCTGTAGCCAGAAATTTGAACTAGAGTCTACAGTGGTAGGAAGTGCTTGACCATCCTTCACTTAGGTAGCTACCCTTCCATCCATTGATGTCATGTTATTGCTGTGGATGGAAGACTGTAAACACAACTACAGTTGTCTAACTGAGCCTGTATATAGGATGTTGTGTACTTAGTGCTTGTCGTTCTTCAGGTCACCCCTTGCATCCACTGGTGCTGTGCTGTAAACACACAGCTAGTCAATGTAAGTCAGTGTACAGTTGTCTGTTTATTGTGATTCACATACTGTGGATACTTTCTGGCGTCATTGAGGGTAACTACACATTTGGAGAACTTGCTGATATGCATTTGTGTTATGGTGAAGCTCGACGGAATGCCATTGTGCATACCGACCGCATAGAATGTGCAAAGTGCTGTAGAAACTTTATATCACATTTCTGGCTATAGGTTCCTTATATCAAAACGTTCAAAATTTCATCCTCTACAATCCCTCAAATTTTAAAAACGTCATTCTGATACACCCTGTATACTGGAAGAGATCTGACTGGAGGTTTGAGTTGTATAATTGGCAACGCATCTGCACAATAAGCAGGGGTTGTGGGTTTGAGTCCTGCTCTGGGTTGATTCTTTTCTTCCAGTAGTTCTAAATTATTTAATTAAAATTATAATTATTAAATTTACCAAGAGATGGTGCCTAACGCCTAACTCTAGTGCCAAATTCTCTCATAAATTATTAATATTATAGCTGTTTCTAACTCTATAATATTTGGCATTGGTTGGTATGTAAGTATTAGTTTATTGGTAACTAACTTCATGTTGACAAAGCAGAGAATACACAATACCCCATGCACAAGGTGATACCTGTCATGGCAGACTTTACATTTATGTAGTCTGAGTGATTAGAGATTGCACTTGGTCAGTAACTACTTGGTCCCCATTTTAGGGGAGATAGGGTGACATAGGGTTGCCACCTGGCCTGTATTGGGTGGCTTGATTGGCAATTTTAAGTCAAGGCTGGAGGTCGACAAAAATATTTAAGTATCAGAAAAGGAGTTTAAAATATAAGCATAGTTATATTTTAATTGAAAAAATATATAAAATTATTTTTAATATTTAGTATGTTTACTTATAATGATAAAGCAACTTTCTCATTATTTAATACAAATAAAAAAAAATAATAATAAAGGATTAAAAGCTTATTGTTAAATGCTTTTTGATTATAATTATGAAAATTTTTGTTATGATTCACAGATGATGCTGTAGTATGTTACATTTTCAAATGTGATTTATGCAATTCTAAGTAAAACTACTTGTTTATACTAATTCTACTGCTTTTTTGAGTTTTAAAAATTGATTTTTTATGATGAGTCAATCTAGATATTTATCTGATTTTTCTTTTCCTTTAAAAAAGTTCATACAATTGTACATTTAGGAAAACTGGGCTCAAGTGAATGAATTCAAAAATCTGTAACTCATGCTGATATTTGTTCAGCTCATTGCATCATTTGCAGAACCTCATTCAGTGTTAAATATGATGGAATTAAAGCATTTATTAGGAATCCCAATTGTGAGAATCATGAAAAAACAAGTGTATCTTTTCATTTACTTTTCCTCTCCCTGATCATTCTGTCAACCAATGAAGCAATTTACAAAGCTAGCAACCCTAAATGACATGATGGAATAGTTCTTTGAGTATAAGGGAATTAGTTATAATTTCTTTGGGGAATAGTGTTACAATATTAACTTTGTCTGAAATAAAATTGCAAATTTATTTTGTAGTACTCAAGTAAAAGCATGCATATACACATATAAATGGAGAATTTTCAGGTTTCTTTAGAAAGGTTGATTCTGGATTTCTCAATCATTTTCCATTCTTAAGCTTTATGTTTATTAATTAATGGATATAGCATGCTCATAATATAAGTCATTAATTTTTTAAAAATAGAATAAACTTTACAAAGTATTCAAAAGAATTAGAATTGGGAGAAATTTTGGTATTGTCCCATCACTAATGGTTACAGTCAATGCTTTTTTTGGAGAAAAAAAAAAGGGTGGTGAAACACTCATCTCATTACTAAAAATATATTACATGCTTCGTACACAAGATTCGGCACACAAGCAGGAGCAGGACCGTCTTAATAATTTTGTTGCCGATCTTCTATGCTCAATAGAGTGATTCAACATGGACCAAACATCAAATTTTCAAAAATTCTCTTAAAACTTTCAAAATATATCAAAAAAAGGTGGTGGAACGCCGTTCCATTGCGTTCTATGACAAAAGTGCTGAGTATAAGAAATATATGTTTAACATTTTATTATTATTAAATTATTAATATAGAATATGCTTTAAAATCATTATTATCCCAAAAAATAAGTGTAAGTTAATATGTATCAATATTTGACCAGAAATACTGAGTCCATGACAGATATTCATTCTAAAGATAAATAAAAAAGAAAGAAAATATGACCAAACAATATTATAATGTACTTACTTTTTTCTTTTTGTGTTTTTTAAAACGAAATAAAAGTGGTTCTTCACTAGTAGCATATGTTTCATAAAGCACATCAGATGATGAACCCTGTAAAAAAAATATGTGTTAAACATGATTTTATACTAATATACAGAATATCCCATATAATGCTAATAACTTAACTAATGCAAATAGTTTATTTTCATTTTTATGGTTTTAAAATACTTCAAACAATGATAAAATTATATTGCTCCTTGCCTTATTTCATAAGGGAATAGGGAGTAACTTTGAAATTTCAAACTGAATCCTATAAAAAAGCATATTTTTGGATTCTGAAAAAAACTTACATTATCAAATATGTTTTAGATGAATCTATTAAGAATCACAGACAGTTGGAACTTTGATTAAAGTTGTTAAAGAGATGTAATTCATTACATTCTCATCAGTTACACTATTTTATCTGTTTATTATATTAAATGTCCAAATTGCTGACCATTCATATATCTAAATATTTATATATCATTTTTTACAAAAATTTGTCTAACTCTGCACAACAGTCATATGGTTACTGTAGCAACAGCTTCACATATTCTCTGTTTCATGTCTTCTCCGTAGTTGTTAGTCATAATATCTCTTTTTTCTTGAAATATCTCCTTAAAAAGTAATTGCGAGGTGTGAGATCAGGTAAGCAAAAGAATCATTTAGTGAGTCCTTTATGTATGTCTATTTGCCAACAAATTTCTGGTTTAATAATACGGTATATATATATATCTGTGAAAA